GAAGCCCAGATGCTTAAAAAGGTAAGAGAAAACTTGAAATCCAGGCTGGGGTTTCAGTGTCTTTGACAAGTGGCTGGGAATTTCTGAAGGTTTTTGGGAAAGGCAATTAATGACAAGGGAAGAACTGTATGGTAATTAATCTGGTAGCATGTGTAGAATGAACAGGTGTGGAAAGAGATTAGAGGGGAAGATACCCATGAAGAGGACATTTCAAAGGTGCGTGTGAGAAATGAGAACTGAGCTAAGCCAGCCACAAGGGGGATTTAGATAAGAAAATAGAATTGATGTATTATGAAATGTGAAAGAACCCTGGGACAAATTGCACATGGATAATGAGGAAGTCTAGCCCCCAGGCCTCAAGCGTGGGTGTCTGGCAGGGATTTAGCGGGTGCTTCCCCTCCAACTGTTGATCTCGTGACACTGCAGCAGGATTGCCTGAGACCATGTAAATGCCCTCTTGGGACGCCAGCCGCAGCTGAGCCACATCGGGTGGTTGGTGATGCTGCGATCCATGAGGACAACCTTCAGAAGACCTGTCTTGGAGTTGTGGCTCTCCCACAAACTTGACATATCATCTTGGTTGAGTGACTCTCATGACTGAGCTTTTGAACTCTCATCAGTTCAAGAGAGAGAAAGCCCTGTACGTCACGCACATGGACTCTGGGAGGTCCACGGAGCACTGCGGAAACTGAGAAGCCCCGCACAAAAGGAATGACTAACATCACTGTCGTCAGCCTCCTCAAGCATTCTCATGCCCACCCGTGTCCAGGCATTCATATCCACGGCGGTCCTGCTCCTCACCCTGACATCTGTTTTTGTTGTTTGTTCCTCTAAGCTTGGAATTGAGAGAAATTTAGCACCTAGATGACTGTTAGTTCTCTCCAAAAGACCACCAATTATTTGCAATAGACTTAATTTATAAGTCCTTCCCTGTTCCACACACATACATGACGTTAAATAGTTTAATATTACTTGAATGTTTGAAATGCTAGTATATCATCATTATCAAATATTTTCTTAATCTTAACAAATTACAGGTTTTGTGGATCTTTCAACACGGACCCTGGGCATTTCATTACCTTGACTCTCTTCTCCGACCTATTAAATATTCCCCATTTAAAAAAAATAAATGAAGAGCAGTGATCTGTTCTAATTCTGAAAGAGCGAATAACAACTTGGTTAGGTTTACTGAAATGTGGTTCGTTGTTGTCCAAGGTCTCAGTTACCTGAAGGATTTTTCAAGGAAATTTTAATAATAGCTGATTTTAGAATGTAACCCCCACACTAGATGGGCCTCTCTACCTTCCCCAGGATGCATAACATCAGTGCTTTTCACACGGAGTGGGAGTGGGGCAAATCTCCGTCTCTAACTGCCCGAGGCTGCCCCGGATCAGGTTTAGGACCAGCTCCTGGCTCTGGGACGTGCAGCTAACTCACCTTAGCTGAACAGTGGAGAAAACACACATCTCTCTTCACAGGGGCGTGAAGATAATGCACAAGACAAGAGTTCCACGGACTACACAACAGCAGGCAGATAGTAGCTTTTATAAAACAGCAGAGATAAAAGATCCCCTTGTTTCTACTTTTTAAATTTTTGTTAATCTCATTGCTTTTTAGAGACGGAGGGAGGGAGAGAGAGGGAGAGGAACATCGATGTGAGAGAGACACATCCATTGGTTGCCTCCCGCACACGCCCCGACCAGGGCCCAGGATTGAACCTGCAACCTAGGTACATGCCCTTGACTGGGAATCGAAGCCACAACCCTTTGATCTGTGGGCTGACGCTCTAAACACTAAGGACACCAGCCAGGCTCCACTGTTTCTTTAAGAAAATTTTCAGGGAGAAGGGAACATTTCTCCCTTTAAAAGACTTGCTTATGACAATATTTTTCAAGGAACTCAGCTCAGATGGTACAGGAAACACATTATGGTCTACTGTGGTATGCAAATTCACTGCTCAGCACATTATCGGAACACAAATACGCACGATCCTCCAAGCTCTGAAGGTTCTGATTCTGTCTCCTTCTTGATTCATTCTCTTCTTCATTCTTCCCTTTTCATTTTTTTCTTTTCTTTCTTGCCCTTTTCCTTCCCTTCCTCTCCCTTTTCTTTTAAATTGCTCTATGATGTAGGAAAATTAAATCAGCCCATCTAAAGTGCAGGGGAGATTGATTTCTTTCATTAAAAAATTGTCCTAACTGAGTTAAAGGCCAAATTCCTCAGAATGTCTCAATGTAACAAAAGATGATTGTTTGAAGGCATGAAGGTAAGTTTTCCATCAGTGACTAAGAACTGGAAATAAAGGAAAGCCAATGAAAACTGAACAGTCCTCACTTGGCAATTATTCAGCCTTTGGAAATTTCCAAGCTGTCTGCAATCATTAATAAATTAGAGAAGATGACGTTCCACTTTACTGAGGCTAGAAGCGTGACATAAAGAGGTCTGGAGGCTTTCCTCAAGCTGAAAGAGGAATGTCACGGGAGGAACTGGGATTAGACCTCGGAGCTCGGTTTTCAAGCCAGTAGTCACATCGCTAAGCCAAGCAGAGTCAATATTGGGACAATAAGGTCCTCTGTGCACAGGTGCAGTGAATACAGCAGTGTTCTGCCCAAAAACTAACTGTGAAAGAGCCTGTCCCCGCACTCCCCAGTGCCCGCAACTCGGTGTATCTGTACCTCATCAGCCTCTCTCCCCTCTCCCAAAACAGACAGATGGCTAAATACCAACTTCTAACCACTCTTCTTAATAATTTCAGAGAAAAGTAAGATGATTTGGTTTTAATTTTTTAAAATGCACAATGTGATGTGCAAACACACGACACTGTTGAAAAACAAATGTTTCAAAAAAAATTATTTCAATGACACGAAATTCATCGATATCCAGAATCCATCATAATGTAATAGATCGTCTTGAATAATTACAAAAAGAAGGAAAATACAGTTTCGTGCTTTCTGGTGAGTGGCTATTAAGAGTTCATTCCATCACCCTGAGTACGTGCGGAGACCAAATGCTAGTGATGTGGCTGGACCCAACATCTTGGATCCAGGTCTCGCACTGGGTGTTGATTCTTTTACTATACCCCTGGATCGGCTCCAGTGTTGAATGAAAAGGGACTGTCCAGAGTGCCCGGCGACATTATGGGAAAAGAGGAAAGTCAAAGACTGGTCCAGTACGTCTCACAAGATCCCTCCCTCCATCCAGATACGCTTTTGCTCTGTCTCACATCAGTTTCCCCAGGTGGGAGGATAGGATCCCGGAACAAGTCAGGGCCCATCTCTTTCCATTAGGACCATCACTCAGCCACCCTAAGAGTCAGGCTGCTTTAGATGGAGCAAACCTGCATAGATATTTGAGCTTAAATGTTCATGTTAATTATCCGAACCTAAACTTTGAATCTTTGTAGGGGGATTTATTGCAGGTGCACCAAAGCGAGGGAAAGCTGAATAATCCAATTTTTGTCTGGACTGCTTGCTTTGGGGGCCAGGAAGGACTAATGCAAATATAATGTAATGTTAACAAAGGGCAAGGCTATTGAGATTGGCTATTTTGGACAAAGTTTATTTTAACACAAACAAGCAAAGTTAGTGATATTTATTTTCATAAAGTGGTTATAGAAAGAAAGGCTTTCCAAGAGCGACGTTTCCAAAACACTCGACATTTAAACTCGGAAACATTATGTTGGAATATGATCATGACTGACCCACGTGCAAGGCTAGGGTATTTGTTAGTCCCCCCACTTTCTGGGAAGGATTCTTTTGCTCTAAGGAGCCTAAATTTCATTCTGGAGCACCATTAATAGAGCAGACAGTTCCATGTGAAAATAGTGGTTCAGTAAACACACTACTGGGAGAGCAAGGACCTGACAGATTTTTGTCTTAATGTTGAAAATGTAAATGAATGTGTATGTACATGGATAATGTCAAATGTGTTACGAATTTTAAAAAATTACCATTCAGTTTCTATTTCTGATTTCTCACAGCTGTAATGAAAGGCGAGGAGTGTTCTGTTCCAACCCAATAGCTGGAAACCAGCTTGGTTCATCCACCTCCCTCCTTCCAAGAACTACCTCTTGGCTCCTCTTGTCATGATAAGAGGTAACGTCATCACGCTCATTCTAGTACTCATGGAAAATCAAAACTGTAGGTTAGTAGGTGTGTGTAATGTCATATCTTACCTATTCAAAGGAAATAACTGAACAGGTGGACTTAAGAGACATATATGCTTGCAAGTAAATCAAATAATGAAAAAGGTACCCGTCATAAAAAAAAATTAATTTCCCAATAGGGTTAAAGGCTAGAGAGTAAGATTCTTGGAGGATCAGTCGTGTGGATAAACAGGTACTATGATAGTGCAGCAGCCTCTTCTTAAAGGCAACTAGACATGGTGTCTGCACTACCTTAGAGCTCCTTGTCCTCCGTGTCTCCTGGGCTGTTCACCACTTATTATGTCGTAGCAGCCACTGTGGTTGCAACTTTGCTTGAGTTCTGACCACCGTCACATAAGCCCAACCTGACAGCAGCTCACATCCTGTTTGCCCTGCATACTTGTCACCTCCACATCTGTTGATGCCCTGCCCCTGTAAGGCAGATACTACAGATCTGTTTCGTGCCCAAGTCCATGCAATGTGTAAGTGCAAGGACATTTCTGGCTCACAGAGAAGCTTGGCCCAAGAGGAGACAGGAGTTGGAAAATAAATTATTTTCTTTTTTTTTTTTCCCCCACCACAAAAAGAGCATCCTGAGCTGCTACAGTTCACTTAATCATTTGGAAGATGATCTTTCAAGGTTGAATGAGTAGATGCAACTGGTGTTAAACGATCGCCATATTAGTAACATAACCCCATATCCTCAGTAGGCTCTCCTTTTCCTACCTCACTCATGCTTCTCTGGGTCTGTACTTTCCAATGAAATTAAAACAGCACATACATTTTTGCTTTCTGGAGAAGGCAGGGTAAGAAAGGCAGCCCTTCCTTCCCATCACAATGTCAATGAGTTTCGTACCTTGGGTTGCAGTGGTGGCGCACAGGGCGCTGGAACAGGATCGGTGATATAGGTCTTCTTGGGACCAGCAGCTGGATACATCCCAGCAGGGTGCTGGTTTCCTGTCCCAGAGGGAGTATACCCTTGTTCCCGCTTCCAGGTATTGGGGTGGCCTTGTTGACCATAAGCAGGATCTGAATCATTTTTGGCCCCATATGCAGGCCCCACTGGGCAATAGGCTTCATAATAGCGTCCTTGGTTGGGGCCATACCCATACCCAGGTTCAGGCTGAAGTCCTGGTGGTGGAATATATGCATATTCCATGCCTCCCCGTGTTGGAGGAGGTGGACACTGCCCAGAAATAGGAACTGGTTGAGTGTTATAACCCTGATGCCCTTGCCCTGGGCCATAAAACTGCCCTGGTGAAGGGGCAGCCATGTAATGAGAGCTGGGCTGGGCTGACTTCACTTGCACGTTGAAGGTAGGCCTTGAAGGGGTGGATGCTGTAGTGTAGGAGGCTGGGACTGGCTGAGGCTGGGGCTTTAGTGTTCCAATTGGAGCCACAGGGATGGGTCCGGCCTGAGGTGCAGGCTGTGGTTTCAATGTAGACTTCTTGGTTGCTGTTAGAGGAGGCTGGTTTGGTATGACCATTCTCTTGTGTCCTGTTACAGGGGTGGAGACTGGAGGAGAGGCTGTTGCACCTGCAGAGCCCTAAAAAGGGGAGAGAGAGAGAGGAAAAAAATAAAACAACAGAGATTATTGCCAATAGAAAATTTAAAAAAATATTAAAAATTGCCAATTATTATTTTTGTATTAACTCCACATAATACAAATACAGCATGGTTTCTGCCTTCCAAGAGTTCAGAGACTAACACAAAAATCAGCTGCATTTTTGTGGATGATCAATGAATAATCTGAAAAGGAAGTCAAGGGAACAATTCAATTTACAATATCAAGATAAAAATACTTAGGAATAAACTGAACCAAAGAAGTGAGAGACATGTACTGAAAAGCACAAAATATTGCTGAAACAAATTAAAGAAGATACACATAAATAGAAGGACACCCTAGTTCATATAGTTGAGATGTTAACACTACCAGAGTGGTCTACATATTTAATACTATCCTTTAGAAAACCCCAAGGTTTCTTGCAAAAACAGAAAAATCTGTCCTAAAATTCATATGCAATCTCAAGAAACTCTGAATTGCCAAAACAATCTTGACAAGAAAAAACAAAATTGGAAATTTCAAAATGCTCAGTCTAAAAATGTATTATACAACTATAATAATCAAAATAGTGTGGTCATGGCATAAAGACAGATCTATAAACCAATGCAATAGAACAGAGAATCCAGATATAAACCAGTGAGTGCATGTTAAATGGAGTTTTACAACAGTGCTAAGACCATTTCATAGGAGGGAAAAACGGGCATTTCAACAAATGGTGCTGGGACAAGTGGATACCATATGCAAAAGAATGAAGTAGGACCCTTACTTTATAGCATATACAAAAATTAACCCCAAATTTTAGCCATAAATATAACTGTGCAAACTATAATAGTCTTAAAAGAAAACATAGGGGGTAAGCTTTGTGACATTAGATTTAGAATTTTTTTTTTTTTATATTTATAACACCAAAAGCACTAACAAAAGAAAATAAATTGAACACGATGATCTTAACCAAACTACCCAAAGACTTATTCACTATAGTGCTAAAAGGAGGTACTAGAGGAAGAAGGCTGGAGGACTGGGCAGAGGGAACAACAATAACAAAAAAGCAGAGAGGTGTTGAGAGAAATAAACACTCTAGCACAACCTAAGAGATGCTAAATTATAGATCAAAGGTTCCTGTCAAAGAGTCATTTACCAAAGATAACTCAAAGTCAGCCTCCTCTTCCTTTTATATCTTCCTATTGCACTCATTTGTTCAACTCAGAAATACTTAAAAACTATACATTGGAATATTAGGCAGCCCTAAAAAAGAATGAAAGCTTACCATTTGCAATAACATGGATGGACCTATTGCATATGCAAGGGAAGTAAGTCAGACAGAGAAAGACAAATACCAACAATAATAACTAAAAAACAAACAAACAAACAAACAGTAATAGATTCATAGATACAGAGAATAAATTGATGGATTGCAGATGGGAAAGGGCTTGAGGTATTGGGTGAAATAGGTGAAGGGATTAAGAAGTATAAATTGTAGATGCAAAATAGTCATGGGGATGTAAAGTACAGCATTGGGAATATGGTCAATAACATTGTAGTAACTATGTATGATGCCAGGTGAGTACTAGACTTATAGGGAGATCACTTTGTTATTATGCAAATATTTAATTACTGAGCTGTACACTTGAAACTAATATTATATAATATTGAATATCAACTGTAATTGAACAAAACAACATAAAATATAACCTTATTTTGGCATTACACACACACACACACACACACACACACACACACACACACTTACTGAATGTCCTAATGACACAAAGGAGAAAATACCTTCCTTCTGAACTACAGGAGGCTATAATAATGATGGGAGATAAGTAAAGGCTTAGGAAAAGCTTGGAGATACAAACATTTGTCCTCAGGCATTAGTCTATTAGAAATGTACAGCATTTTAATTCTGCTCTGAGATATTATAATCAGATTTGTTGCTATAACAAATAAGTGGCCACACTCTAGTTTTGTTATTTTTTTTAATTTCCAGGTAAATTCTAGTATGTATAGGAAGAGAGGATGCAAAACTTAGGTCACTCTATTGTCATTTACCCGCACCAGACCACAAGAAATAACAGACAGGTGGAGCGGATGCTGCTAACTGCTTCCTCATCGTACACACGCCCCTTCCTCATTCCTCAAAATATTTCAATTTTGTTCAGGGCAGCAGTGTGCCCAAGTAAAATCCTGCCCAAGATGGCTTTGAAGGTAGAAGCATCATTCCATTCTACCTTTCCCGTTTCCTCTTTCCTGTCTGGAATGTGGACAGGGGGTTGTAAATGGCACGACTATCTAGCCCCTACCATCTTATAAAAGTATACTGATTCACATATTTAGCTTTCAGTGAAGAGCTTTCTGGAGATGTAGGTTGATCCAGAGATAAAAATTAAAACATTCCCAGGGCCATTTGGTTAACATTTTATTTCCAGTTGCTGTCAACTAGACAGGAAATCGCCTACTGACCAGGAGAACTTTAGAAAAGAGTGAGGATATTTTTATTGCCACAGTGACTATGGACGGTATGCTATCATCATTGAATGAGTGAAGGGCAAAACACATCACTGTAAAGCCCAAGATGACAATAGTGCCCCTGTTGACAGTGATAGACTCTTTGGACATATCTTTTGTAAGCTGACTATGAAGGTTCCAGGTGCCAAGGAGGGTCACGGGTCCTCTCTAGGACTCATGCTCCACAACACTTTCTCTTTCCTGCTTCAAATAACCACTCTCTCCCCTGGTCCCCTGGAGCCTTAAGAAATCACAAGTCTGACTCTGCTAGCCCAAGATTAGCACTCTGTTCCTATGACTTCTCTGTACTTCTGTGTACAGATGCCTTTATAAATTAACTCCTGGCGAGAAGGCAGGTTCAGTGTGCAATGATTTTTGCTGGGATCCTGACTGTACGGTCCTGCTTCCCACATATCTGCCGCAATCAAAGTTTCCCAGGGATTTTGCAAATGTAGATTTAGTTCTGTTAAGTTATAGGAGGCTGTTGAATTGAGTTCTATTTTTTCCCACTTAAAAAAAAAAATTAGCCATTCAGGGGAAGGCTTGCAATTTACTTTTGTAGTTTAAGCAACCTGCATATTCTTGTTTTGGTAGAGTGAACTTTCCCTCCTGCATGAAGGTGGTCCCCAGTAGTGCCTCTAAGAAAATGATGCAGTGTTCTCATTAAGAAAATTTAAAATATATATCCTGAAGAAACTCTAAAATAAATACTCAGTGAAGAGTATTTTTCTAGTCAACCATGTCAGTATTAAAAACTGTCAGCATAGATGGAATTGAATGAAAGAGAAGGGATAAAGCTTTTCTTTGATGACTCAAGATCAGCAGAAACTCAGAGTTCCTATTTGGAATACGTTAAAAACCCAACTATAAATGGAGACAGTTTGACTGAGCAACTGGGCTAATGACAGGCACACTCTCCGCTGCAGCTGTAAAGAAGTCTGCCTCCAACTCTGATGCCTCAAAAGTCACATATTTTTTAAATGAAAAGCAATCACCTTCATAAAATGAACAACAAAAAAAGGATTTATGTAGATCTCACACCTTAGAAGCACCTTTTTCACAAACCTCTTTTTCTTTCTTGGTGAGCACATACACACTCCTTGGAACCGGAACCAGCTTGCATCCCTCCTCCCCCCACCACATACACACACTATTCAAACATTCCTCAAGGCTTTGAAGGAAGGCATCAGGACAGGATTTCAGGAGCTGATGCTTTCTTCTAGGAAATATCTCACCAGTAGAATCCTCTTCCGGGGCTAAGGTTTCTCACACCTTTATTATGAATTCTGCTGTCTATGTGTCGGCATGTTTATGAGTATTTCCTATATCATAACTACATGTGTGAGAATGGCAGATTTAGCTCTATTTTTCCCTTTTCGATTTTATATTCTTTGCCTCATTGGAGGTGGAAGGGGTAAAGAGGCGGAGTCATTTGAAAGCATATTTATTTATGTTCTTCATGGTTAAAGAAAGCTATGGCAACACTTTTCCTGGCCCACACACTCAATTACATGCATAGTGAATTTTTTCTACTTACTGGATTAGTTGGCGCTTCCAACTATATATTTTTGGCGTTCCATTTCATTTTTGTTTTTGCAGGAATTCTTAGAGTTTTTATCATGATTTCACATTTTCACTTTGAAAATCAAGTGCATTTAAAAATTAAACTCATAGGGATATGTGTCTGTGTGTATATGTTTATTTTTTCTGAGACATGCATCTATGTAGCAGTATTTTTATGTGGTTGCTTTTCCATTAATTACTTTTGAAACCATTTCAACACGTAGAGCTCTATGAAGCAAAAAGGAGGAGGACAGTGTTAGGTTAGGGGACAGTGGCATGGAGTGGTGGAGGGGCCGACACAGAAGCAGTAACTGTTGATTCTGTCTTCATTACTGGGCAGAATTGGTGTAGCCATGAGACAAAAACAGAAGAGGGATACGCGAGCACCTCTTGTGTTCCCCTTTTAGAGCAGGCCCTCAACTTCTTTTTAGCCCAGCATTTTACATTCATCTCTCTTACCCTTGTCCATCCATCCCTTAAACATACCTGCATGTACACACACACACACACACACACACACACACACGCCCCTTACCCAATCTATATATAACCTCTGATTATTTATAACCTCTGATTATTTCTCACATTCCTGCACTTTATTCCAGTTTTGCTTCTCTCCCTTCTATCTGGCCCTCATCACCACTTCCCTGAGCTATTTATTACTACGATCCTACCTCACTTCTCTCTCATCTTTCCTCCTTAACACCACCACAACGCTCTCTCTAACATGACCCCCTGACTGCGGCTCGCTGACGCTCCAAACTTGTCAATGACTCTGCCTTGTGCTGAACTCTCTGCGTTTGTTATTTTCCGCATACTCTATAAAAACTTTATGATGTAGCGCTGGCCTCATGCACTCCAGCTATACTAACCTCATGTAGAGACAGGAATAGACCATACAGTTATGTCTG